TTTCCTAGCTCTTCTGAGTACATGTACAATGCTGCACACTTAATATTGTTATTGCATCTTTCAGACCGATATTTCCTAACTACCCAGGAAAACACTCATTTTCCTTCATAGAAAAAGGTGACCTGGGAAGATTAGGTGATCCAAAATGCCAAAAGAGCAAACAAGGTTGAAAGTAGCATGGTTATTTAGGAAGGATCTGGGAAGGGCAGCCTATAATGTCACTGCTAGAGCAGGTGGTGTATTCCTCAGGTGCTGGTAGATTTGTTTGTTTTTGTCAGTTGGTCGTGGGCTTGAACTCTGGGCCTGGGTGCTGTCCCTCAGCTCTTCAGCTCAAGGCAAGCGCTCTACCACTTGAGCCACAGCGCCACTTCCGGTTTTCTAGTAGTTTACTGGCGATAAGAGTCTTCCAGACTTTCCTGCCTGGGCTGGCTTTGAACCGTGATCCTCAGATCTCAGCCTCCTGAGTAGCTAGGATTACAGGCATGAGCCACCAGCACTCAGCATGCTGGTGGAATTGTAAATGGTACCTTTATGAGAGTGGACTGAGCCAGGACATTACTATGTAGCTTCTGCCTGAACCTGAATTGTGAAAAGAAGGATGCTATGTCATCCTTAAATTTATGAGTTTAACAGTACTTTTAGTGTTCTAACTTTAGCTAGAATGCAGTTGCAACTTAGTGACTAACCAACGTCAAAACAGTGTTGAATGCCAGGCACTGGTGGCTGGCCTGTAATCCTAGCTACTCAGGAGGCTGAGATCTGAGGATCACAGTTCAAAGCCATCCCAGGCAGGAAAGTCCCTGAGATTCTTATCTCTAGTTAACCACCAGAAAACTGGAAGTGGCGTTGTGGCTCAAACAGTAGAGCACTCTCCTTGATCTGAAGAACTAAGGGACAGCGCCTAGGCCCAGAGTTCAAGCCCTATGACGGACAAACAACAAAACAAAACAGAAAACAGTGTTGAAGCCTGTCTTCTGTGTGGCCTTAAATCCCTAGAAATCTAGATCTTGTAAATTTTCTCTCATAGCCACTAGATGGAGCTGACCATTCGGGTTAGGTTGACTCAGGCTGTGTGTATGAATTTAAAAAGTAGGAAAACTGTAAGTTCAGAAATGTGGTAATGAGAATAAAATTATAGGTAATTTTTTATCACTGTTTTCACCTTCCCTTTAGAATGGTTTTAAAAAATGTTTATTTAATAGGAAAATGAATAGAGAATGTTCAAATAGGTAGAAAATTTTGGCAGCAGCCTGAGTGCTGTGGTACATGCTTGTAGTCCCAGCTACTTACTTGGGAGGCTGAGGCAGAAGAATTGATCAGCCCATAAGTTTAAGACATGCCTATGTAACATAGCAGGACTCTGTCTTAAAAAAACCAAACAAACTGGTGCCAGTGGCTCATGCCTGTAATCCTAGCTACTCAGGAGGCTGAGATCTGAGGATCATAGTTCAAAGCCAGCATGGGCAGTAAAGTCCATGAGACCCTTACCTCCAATAAACCACCAGAAAATCAGAAGTGGCGCTGTGGCACGAGTGGCAGAGCACTTGCCTTGAGCTGAAGAGCTCAGGGACAGCACCCAGGCCCAGAGTTCAAGCCCCACGACCAACCAAAGAAAAAATAGACATAGTTTAAAACAGATGGAAATAAGAGTAACTCCCTCTTTCTGTATTTATAGCTATTCTTGGGATGCACAACCTGATAACAAACGCGCAGTTCTGTAACGTAGTGGGCAGTAGTAATGGAGTCGACCAACATTTTTCAAGTGAGTATTTAAGATGCTTTATGAATTTCAGTATTTTAGGAAATGTATATTTGTGTCTCCATTTTTCATCTTC